ACTTTTTGGTTAAATGTCCTTTTTTATTTTGAAATCTGAATCTCATATTTAAGCTGAAATTATAAACATATAACTATGTATATTTTCATTTAGAAGTATCCCTATTACAAGTTCTTGCGACCCCCCCCCCCCAGTGGCACAACAATATGTATGCGGACTTACAATGTTAGAATCCGGGTTTCGATACCCATGGTGGGCAGAGCACAGATAGCCCATTGTGTAGTTTTGTGCTAAATTACAAACAAACAAAAGTTTTTGCGTCTAAAGAAACAAAAGTATATATATATATATATATGATAAAATAGAAACGACTTGCAACTTCAGAAAAAGTAATATTTCAACATACTAATATTTCGACCTACGCCTCCCTAAGGGTTCAATGAAATGCAAAAGCTGAGTATAATTGATATAGGATTAGGTTTGTTTATAAGTAGTATTCTGAAGAACGGCATCTAGTGACCTCGCTGAAAGGGGAGAGCGGAATATTTAAAACAGCCTTGAAATTGTTATTGTTATGAATTTCGCGCAAAGCTACATGAAGACTATCTGCGCTAGCCGTCCCTAATTTAGCAGTGTAAGACTAGAGGGAGGCAGCTAGTCATCACCACCCACCGTCAACACTTGGGCTACTCTTTTACCAACGAATAGTGGGATTGACCGTCACATTATAACGGCCCCACGGCTGAAAAGGCGAGCATGTATGGTGCGACGGGGATTCGAACCCGTGACCCAAAGTTTGCGAGTCGAGCGCACTAACCACCTGGCCATGCCGGGCCATGTCAGCATAGAAAATGTTGGGAACCATTCAACCACTTCAATAGTATAGTTTGAATTTTGTATTTTTAATGGTTTCTGGTTAAAACTACGAGATTTAAAATGCATAATTAAAAAGTTTTAGAACTTATGAGATAGCTTCAGAGAGAGAAAAAAAACCTTCAAGTATCAGAGCCTTTGGGAGTAGTTTAACAGTTTTCCTCTGGTAATATCTGTTTGTTATGAATCAATTCGCTACTCCACAAATATTCACCTAGAAAAGCCTTATAATTGGCTAACTGCAATAGATGTGCAAGTTACATGTAAGAAGAACAAATAATTCCTAAATTAATGTGTGTGTGTGTTTTGTCATTTCCTTTTCAACAGTTTCGCCCAATTTATTTAAGCAAAGAATATTTAACAGATTAAACTACATTAACTTTCACGTAATTATATAATTTTGGCTGTAAAAGCATGGATAAATTGCAGTGTACAGGAATGCAGATTGAAAGTATAAAAATAAATTCCAATGGCCAAGAAAAAAAAGCGTTTCGTTTTGTGTTGTTTGTATCACTATTTTAATACTATATTACTACACGACTTTATAACAACAGATTTCTTGTTTTTCTTCTTTAATTTGACACTCAACATTTCGCTTTACAACTTATTCAGGAGCGTTACATTTAAACACAAACTGTAACTCCAATATGCACTACAGAAATTAAATAATGAAGTATCAATATTGTTTTTTTTTGTATTTTCTGGCATTTATTTTCACAAAAGCTGACTGAACCATTTTCACTCTAAAATTGTGTTTCCTGAGTTTTATTTATACAATAATGCAAATAATAGTAAAATTTCGTCAACTTGCTGGTTTCAACTCCTTTATACTATAAAATGTTTTGTAAGTCATTCGTGAAAATAGAAACAACTGCAATTAAGAGTGTGATAGAAGTAATTTTTTCTCATAATGTCCTATGTTTAATAAATCTCATGTTTTTATAAATATTTTTAGTTAAGCAAAAATTAGTCGTCAAAGTTGGCGTTAACTTTAAGTTAACATGCGGCGAATGCTTTATTACTGAACCCGTGCAACAGCAGTAGAATGCCATGTAAAGTATATAAAAGCCCGCATGTAATGGTGCATGAGACGTTCAAGTGCGCGCGCAGCAAGATATCTAGGAGAACGCTACGAAGGGTTCATGAGAAGTACGGTAGTCTGCATGAACGGATCTTCATCCCTCTCTCACTCGTGTAGAATCAATATGAGCGCTGCAACAACTTGTACGAGATTTAGCGATAATTACGAAGTTAAAGAAGAACTAGGAAAGTAAGTAATACGCATTTCGTGTATTTTAAGGATTATTCTTTAAAAATTATTGTATAATATACCTGCCTTAAAGGGAATCTTAGATACAAATAAATATTTATTACTGACTCGCAAAAATATATTTGTTTGTAATACTAATAGTACAGTTTTGGCTAAGCTCCTACACATGATACGCCTGTTTCGAAAATTGTAGCGCAGCTTTTCATGTTCAGAGTTAAAAAAACAAATTTTATTACATCTAATAATAAATGCATAGAATTGTTATTAAAGCTATTACAGAAGAGAGTAAAGTGTAAGTAATAGCATTTTCTTAAATAATACATTCATATTTGCATGGTATTAAATTAAGCTTACTACTGCCTACACTAGGTCACTAGTGATGTGACTGTCAGCCTCCTTATTACAATTAGTAGTATTACTTTTAGAGGCTAAATGGGTAAGTATAAATAGCATATTTTAAAATAACAATATGAAAGCATATTTTTAATAGTAAAATTACTGTTGTTATTGAAATACAAAAGGAGAAATGATACATGTATCTAAATACCATGATGCCAAAGTGTTCAGTTTAGTAGAGATTTTGTACACAGGCTTTCAAATCTTCAAGAAAAAACCTTAAAGAATTATTGGTGTGCAAGCTAAAAAAGTGCCAAGATTAATTAATTTATATGGCTTTGTAGAGCTTTAATTGTATCTTTTGATACTAGGCAAATCAATTATTATCTTGTAAAACTCAATATAAGGTGTTTGTGTAAAGTAGAAAATACCTGACTTGCAATGTTTTATATATTTTGACATCTGTTGCACTTACTTGGAATTCTCGATGAATAATTTCACAAAGTTGTGAAAATTACTAGCCATTGTACACCTCTGGTACTGGTGGTGTGTCAAATGGTAGTCCATAACTTTTGTTTCAGGAGAACCCTACAATAACAATGGCACATTCAGAAATTGTTTTAAGCATGGTCCCAAAAGCAAGTTGAACTCTCTATTGAAAGTACAATTTTTAGAGAATAACTTAAATAAAAAATACTGGTATGCTCTAAAACACCAATATCATGGAGGGGAGTATAGCAGATCACAGTACTTGATCATGTGGGATGGTTGGAAAACTTTCACAGTACTGTTCACAGTAAATTAGAGGGTGATCTGGGACATTGAGAGATCACTTCTTACATTTGCCACTGAATAAATTAAAACTAGAAAAAATTTACTTGTATTACACTAATGGAAGATAACTAAGCAACATATTTCAAGCATATTCTAAGGCTTGATATGTAAAATAATATTAATTTCAACATATTTTTAAAGAATTCACAATTATGCTTTTGAAAATTTTAAGCAATGTAACACACGTATATCTGTAGGTATTATCACTGTTTACTGTATTTTAACTATTTTTAATCTAAAAAGTGTAATAAAATGTATTTCACATTTTTATTCCTTTATGTTTTAATAACAAAACCAATTTTTACATAAATTATTTAAAAATAAAATGATTCATCTTGACATATATAAAATTTAACACTATATCTAAATTGGCTACAATTTTATTAGATAATTTATGGAAATGACAAGCAATAACACATTCTAAAAAAACAACAACAAAAACTATCATATCATAAGTTTGGTGTTAGTAATCATACTATAACATTGAGCTGTCACTTCTCTCTCTCTGCTGAGGTAAAAATGAAATTTTCATAAATCTTCAAATTTAATAAAAAAAAATAAAAAAAAATGCTGGTTTAAAAACAAAAAGCTTTTTGAGTTAAATAACAGTATGATTATGCTGAAGATTGTACCATAATATCTTTCAGTTTCATAACATATCCAATAGATGCATATATAGAACTAGCATATTGTTCAGTATCTAACTACTGAATTCATAATAACATAGCTTATATAAGACGACCAGTTTTATATGCCTTCTATGAAAGTAGAAAGAAACTGTACACCACATATATTTTAAATACACTATTTCTGTGGATTTTCAGTAAACACTTTTTATTTTATCATTATGTATACTTAATTCAAAATGTATAGTTAATTAGTTATAAGGATTAAGTGCTCTGCTGTTACCATTATTGTAAATTTACTTTTAATTGGCTGAAATAAGTTTTACAATTAAATAAAAGTTTGCATCAATGAAAATAAAGATGATGATATTAAGATAATTTGAACTTAACAAACTGTACATTCAATAAAAATGTCCTCATTTAACTTGTTTATTAGTGTCCACAGATAGGTTTCGAAAATATGACTTGATTCGGTGAAGTAAAAAACGCATCTTATTATTTCTATTACAAAAGAAAATATAACTATACCAAAAATGAAACTTTCTTTTCACTTAAGAAAAATACAAAAACTTTAATATCTGAGAAAAATTATACTCCTTATGCTATTTTTAAAGATAAACTCAGTTACTGTTGCTTAAGTAGTATTTACATGACACTTAATTTTTACTAAACACTTAAGCCAAACACAGACTCAAACATGCATCTTATTATTATTATTATTATCCTAATGCATACAATAGTACATAGGTATATTTTTGTTTCTAATTTAATGGTATAAAACTTGTATCAAGATAATATATGATGACACTTCAAATATTGTATTTAATTCTAGTCACCCTTCTTATTGCAAAATATCTGAAGAAACTACAGATTTGAGGAGTTCATTGAAATAATGTAATGGTTCACTTCGTATGCACTTTAGGGCAGTTGAGATTGTCTGTTACAGGGAATTATTTGGATGGCTATCATATATGTATTCATAGAGTCAGTTAAACTGTTGGTGAGAATATGTATCTGTTGTTTAATGTTTGGGAAGTAACAAATGTTAGTAATGCAGCAACATGTATTATTAGCTTAGGAGATTATGGTATGAAGTGAAGTGTTCAAAGTAATGGGGCTTATTGGTTTTCCCCTTTCCATCTTTTCCAATTTTGTGGATGGAATATCTCAAAAGTGGATGGATGGACTTTGACCAAACTTGTATAACTGGTATTCTATACAAGTTTCTAGATCTAATTAACTTTTGAAAATTATGGGCTAATGGGCAAGGTCAAAATGTCACTGGTACATAGAAAAATTTCCCCAAACTTATGGACATGGTATTTTAATATAGGATGAATGAATATTAACTAATGTTATGCAACAGGTACTACATACAAAGTTTTATACACCTGATTAACTTTTGACAATCAATGGTCAAGGTCAAATGTATACCTGTACACAGAAAATTTAGTCCAATATTTGGACATGATATTTGAAGATTGGATAGATGGATTTTGATTGAACTTATAAACATCATCAAATTGGGGGATCTTAAACAGTGTAACATTATTGGAGGGCTTAAGTATTTATTAAACACAATTTGCCCATGTAGGACTTTGAATATAATTTTTGTTCAAAAATGTCATTAATTTGGTGGTATCACATATTTATAATTCTGGTTGTTTGGATTCCATGAAGGTTTTAATTTTCAATGACAGTTAATAGTTACAATTGTTTCAAATGTTAAGTAAAATTTAATAGCCATGGTAAATTGTGTTATAGGAAATGTTGGCTTTGAATGGAATGATTATATATATTTATATAAAATTTGCAAGCAAATATTTATTTATTTATTTTTTGTCTAGACTTTTGGATTTTGTGTGTAAATAAAGTGGCTGATATGAAGCTCTAGAGTCTAGATGGTTGACATGGTGTACTAAATTTTGTAGATTTGTTTTTTTTTCTATAACTCAAAGAAAATGTTTGTGAACATGGTATAAAAAAATGATATTTTGAAACATTTGGTGATATATGAAGAGTTATGTGAAAACTTGTTTTTAAATTCTAATTCATGACTAACTCAAGATTTGTTAGGTCGTACTTATTAAAGCTAATAAACAAAGTATTCTGAAGTTTTGTATATGTTACTTGTGTCACAATTTTTATTTAGATTATAACTACATATATATTAGTTTATCTATGGTTGATCTAAGGAAGAAAGAAATTTATCAAATCATACAGGATGTAAGCCTAGTTTTCCCTGCAAAATTGTATTTCCAGCATCTCTATTAAGTTATACAGGAAAAATAAACTAAAATAGTGTTCTTTGAAAACTTAACTTTTTGTTGTAGTTTAGAAGGTTAAGCATAGAAAATATGTTTTACTTGTTGAAGAAAAATATTAACATGAACTTTTTTCTTTACTATTTATATACATTAGTGGGAAAGGTTTTTTTTTACCTGCTAATGAAGATATATAAATAAAAGTAATTATCTGCTAGGCTTTGACAAGAGGGTTGATTTAACCAATGATTCTTTTGCATAGTATTTTTTATTACTATTTTGTAACATATCTAAGTAGTCTCTCTCAAAAAGCTGAGTTAGGTTTCAATATATTCAGCTATATTTTAGCTTCAGAAAAGTTAATGTCATTGTCATATGTGCCATTTATTTAATATAATGATATATTACAGCATAGTGTCAGTGAGGAACTACAAAATTTTCATGTTCACAGCTATTTAAACATATTTCATGACCTAAACTTTTGAAATTATTTGTCTTACAAAACAAATTTCTAATTCAACAGATAGTTGTGCTTTGGAACATAAAATTATTACCCTTTTTCTAGGGTTTGGAAGTGATAGACCATATTAATACTATAATAGGCCATTATATTAGATTACACTAAAACTGTAGTATTTATTAGTTTCACATGTCATGTCAAGTAGTTAGTAAAGAAGAAAAGGAAACTTTTCAAAGTTATATAACTTATTTAAAATGCTTTTATTATCTTAAAAGAAAAAATATTAACAAATGTATAAAGTTTATTCAAATATATTGACAACTTATGTTAAGTTGTAATGTCACTTATCTCAGGTATGTTATACCCAAATGTTTATTATCTCTGTATTATACCACTTCAGTTATGTAGTCATATGTATACCTGTAAAGGATCTTAATAGTACTAATTAGTTTTATTTCTTGACCATTTACTTATGGATTTCATCTAGTTATGCGTAACTGTTAGTTGCAGTGTTCCATTACAAGTTAGTCAAACTACTTGCTATTGATCAGAATGAGGACTGTGTAACAAAGAATGTGAAGTTAGATATTAGGTAATATCATTACTAAATTGTTTTTGGCTGTTATTTGCAACTTATCTCTTTGAAAATATAAGTGAATATCTTATAAACCTCCAAAATTTTCATGCAGACTGAAGAAATATATCTCTATAATTACATTGTAACATACCAACTGTTCATAACTATATTTCGTTATAGACCTTAACCTATAGTAGGTAAGACACATGTAAAAAAATTTCTTTTAACACATTTTATTTTGAACAATCCTCCCTTACATACAACTATAACTTAGAATTCCTCATGAAAAGAAATACAAGTTTAGTTGTTTTTTTTAAATACCTATATTTAATCTGACTGTACATCCTCCTTCCATAGTGATGCATATATAAACAAAGTTTGAAACTTTAGCATTCTACATGTATTTTTCAAAAGCTATAAGCTGTGGCATGTTTCAGTCGCTGCACATTTATATTTTAAAAATATTTTTACCCTTGGTGATTATTTTGTCTTTTCACTTTGGTAGTGTTACACATTTTAACTCAATAAATTTTATAGCTTTTTGGAAAACACACACACACACACACACACACACACACACACACACACACACACACACACACACTATTTTAATATTAAGTATACTAGTAAGTATATTATATGTATTATGTGTT